AAAAAAAAAAAAAAAAAAAAGTGAAAAAACGTTCAACTGCATAGCTATTATAATGGGTTTCTTTCCATTGCCCTTCTGGCTTATTAGTTCTACTCTTTCTTAGATTCTTTCATGTTCCCTTTTTTTGTTTTTTTCTTTTTCATTATTGGCTGGTACATTTTCCAAAAATTTTTCCAGAAAATGCATGGGAAGTTGATTCTCTAGTTTGGTACATATTAGAATTTCGTGTGTGTGTGTGGGGTCACCTACTACTTAACTTTAAAATATCTAATGCAGTAACTTTAAATATAAATAATTGTGCATGAATTGAAATTTCTATCACAAAGGAGTGAGTAATTTTATAACAGTTTAAACATTTGCCATAATCTGTGCTTCTTGATATTTTTATTAGATCAACAGGAGGAAAGATTAAAAGCATCTAGCAAAAGAAGCTATCTGGAAATTTTTTAAAAATCCTGTAGTTTTCTGAGGATGTGTGTAATACAGAAATTTATAAAAAATTGTAAAAATTATTTTCTATACATTTTTATTGTTGTTTAGACATTTAAAAAATGAATCCTTCTTACTCATTTCCACTACTTGAGAAGTGGCTGTTTTGTTTTGTTTTTTGACATGGTCAGTACCTTTTTGTTTCTTAAACAAAGAAATCTGTTTTAATTTATGAACAGTGTGTGTGTGTGTTGGCTATATTAATTTAGACACATTTAATGTATGATTCTGCTAGGAAGTTTTAGGGTTTTATTTGTTATGAAATAACTTCTTTGATCCCAGTGAACATATGTGCAAACTTTGGGAGACTGTAATATCCTGTAATAACAGTTACAGTTTTTAACTTTGACATGACTGAGCTAATAATGCTAGTAATTGCATCAGAGAATGTGTTTCAGTTAGAAAGAAACTGTTTGCTGGCTGTATTTCTGTAATTTCTACATTATTATTTAAATCTTGAAGTTTTACCTTCTGAAACTGGAGTAGCCACTGTGAAAATCTAAAAAAGTTTAACATTTGAAAACAAATTCCTTATATTCCCTGATAGAAAATTGGTCACTTTGCCTGGCTCATTAATGCTGGGAGAGCACTAAGGCCATTTAATGCACTGTAATTAGATTTTTAGACTCTCATGTTCCCAGTGGTGCCGTAATGGCCTGAAAGAGTTAGTAAGACTCCAGGACACCTAAATTGTTACTAGAGAATACTTTGGCCATTAGGAATAATAGCACTTAGTTATGAAATAACCAAGTTCAGAGCTTTCTTTTAAGAAGATCCAAATGTGAGGGGTTGTGTAATTTCTGTCTCGATTAAATTAACCACTTTCTATAATGTAGAGCTTCATATATTCACCAAACAGATGTTTGAGCCTCTCCAGAACTGCCAGTGATGCCTCAGGACCTTATGTCAGGGGACATAACATGTTACCAGCAGTGGGAGCACGTTTTCTATTTATGTTTTCCACCCACAACTTTAATGCCTTGTCCATCTTAAGCAAGCACTTTTACACACTGTGGTTGCATTTTTGCAGTTTGAGGTACAATATCAAAAGTAGCACGAATTTCTTTTTCCTTCCTCACAGTTTTACAGATAGAAGATTCATTCTTGCCATATGTGTTTCATCCTCAGGATATAATATTTTTTCTTTTTCACTAAGTTGAGAATTTTTACCCTTTTACTTAAAGGAAGCGCTTTACAGCTTCTCTGGCATATCTGAATTGCCAGCATCACTACTCTTGCACTTTGGGGCCATTATTAAGTAAAATGAGGGTTGAACACAAGTACTGCAACACCATGACAATCGGTCTGGTAACTGAGATGGCTGCTGAGTTAGCAACAGGCAGGAAGCATCTACAGCATAGATACGGTGAACTAAGGCATGATTCACATCCTGGGCGCGATGGGTGAGATGGCAGGAGATTTCATC